ATAAGATCATAATTCCAATGCTTATAGAAATGGGAAAAGCATCCTACCGTTTTTAAGGATAAGATCAGAAAACCAATGTGTACAAAAATAGCGTTATAATTCCAGTGTTTGGAAGGACCGGATAAGAAAACCAATGTATATAAAAAAGGGCTAGAATTCCAGTGTTTCGAAGGAGAAGATGAGAATTCTAGTGTTTTTAAAAATAGGGCAGAATTGGAATGTTTGCAGTGGAAAACAGATAACAGTTCCAATGTTTTTAAGAATAGGGCCAAAATTCCAGAAAAAGATCATAATTCCAATGCTTAGAGAAAAAGGCCAGAATCCCAATGTTTTGAGAATAAGATCAGAAAACCAAAGTGTATAAATCAAGGGCTAAAATTTAAGTGCTTGGAAGGATAAAATGAGAATAGCAATGTTTATGAAGATAGGACCAGAATTCCGATGTCTGGAAATATTCGGGCCAGAACCTGAATGTTTGCAGGGGAAGGACAAGATAAGAATTCGAGTGCTTACAACAAGAGGGCCAGGATTTCAATGTTTCGAAGGATGAGGTCAAAATTCCAGTAAGTATAAAAATAGGGCGAAAATTCCAGTGTTTGGTTAAATGAGGATAAGTTTGAAAGGATAAGATAAGAATTCCAATGCTTACAGAAAAAGGGCAAGAATCCAAGGGTTTTGAAGGATAAGATAAAAAGATCAATGTGTATAAAAGTAGTGCCAAAATTCCAACGTTTAGATGGATAAGATAACAATGCCAATGCGTATAAAAATACGGCCAGAATTCCAGCGTTTAGATGGATAAGATAACAATGCCAATACGTATAAAAATACGTAGAGAATTCCAGTGTTTGGAACGATTAAGATGAGAATTGCAATATTTGCAATATTACTAATTCCAATGTTTGGATGAGTAAGATCATAATTCCAATGCTTATAGAAAAAGGGCTAGAATTATATCGTCTGACATGATGAGATGAGAATTCCAGTGTTCGGAAGAATAAGACGAGAATTTCAATGCGAAAAGAAATAGGGCCAAAATACCAGTATATAAAAGGACAAGATAAGAATTCCAATACCTACAGAAATAGCGCCAGAATTCCAGGGTTTTAAAGAATAAGAACAGAAATCCAATATGTGTAAAGAGAGGGCCATAATTCTAGTGTTTAGAAGGATCGTATAAGAAAAAAAAAAACATGTATAAAAAGAGGCCAGACTTCCAGGGTTTGGAAGGATAAAATAAGTATTTGAATGTTTATAAAAGTAGGGTAGAATTCTAATGTTTGCAGTGGAAGGATAAATTAAGAATGCCAGTGTCTCTAAGAATAGGACCAGAATTCCAAAGGTTGGAAGAATACGATCAGAATTCTAATGTTTGAAAGATTAAGATCATCATTCTAATGCTCAAAGAAATAGGTCTAGAATGCCAATGTTTTTTAAGGATAAGATCAGAAAACCAATGTGTATAAAAATTTCAATGTTTACAGTGGAAGGAGAGGATAAGAATTCGAGTGTTTCTAATAATAGGGCCAGAAATCCAATGTTTCGAAATATAAGGGCAAAATTCCAGTGTGTACAAAAAGAGGGCCAGAATTGCAATGTTTGGTTAAATAAGATCATAACTCCAGTGCTTATAGAAATAGGGCCAGAATTCCATGTTTGAAACGATAATATAAGAATCCGAATGCTTACAGAAATAAGGCGGGGAGAATCCAAGGTTTTGAAGGATACGATAAAAAAAATCAATGTGTATAAACGTACGGCCAAAATTCCAACGTTTACATGGATAAGATAAGAATGTCAATGTGTATAAAAATACGGCAGAATTCCAGTGTATGGAACGATAAGACGAGAATTCCAATGTTTATAAAAGTAGGCTCAGAATTCCAATGCTTGGAAGGATAGGACCACAATTTCAATGTTTGCAGTGGAAGGACAAGATAACAATTCCAATGTTTGAATAAGATCTTAATTCCAATGCTTATAGAAAAAGCGTCAGAATTCCATCATCTGAAAGGATGAGATGCAAATTCAATTGTTTGGAAGAATAAGATAAGAATTCCAATGCTTATAGAAATAGGGCCAGAATACCAGTCTTTGAAAGGACAAGATAAGAATTCCAATACCTACAGAAATAGCGCCAGAATTCCAAGGTTTTAAAGGATAAGATCAGAAAACCAATGTGTATAAAAAGAGGGCCATAATTCTAGTGTTTAGAAGGATCGGATAAGAAAAACCAATTTGTATAATAAAGGGCCGGAATTCCATGGTTTGGAAGGATAAAATAAGTATTTCAATGTTTATTAAACTAGGGCAGAATTCTGATGTTTGAAGTGGAAAGATAAGATAAGAATTCCAATGTGGAACAATAAGATCAGAATTCTAATGTTTGGAAGATTAAGATAATTCCAGTGCTTAGAGAAATAGGGCAAGAATCCCAGTGTTTTGAAGGATAAGATCAGAAAACCAACGTGTATCAAATTAGGGTCAAAATTCGAACATTTGGATGGATAAGATAAAAATGCGAAAGGTATAAAAATAGGGCGAGAATTCCAGTGTTTTAAACGATAAGATGAAAATTCCAGTGTGTATAAAAATAGAGTCCAAATTCCAATGTTTAAAAGGATAAGATAATAATTTGAATGTGTATAAATTGCCTGAACAGCAATGTTTGGAGGGATGACGTCGAAATTCCAACGTCTATAAAAATAGGGCCAGAATTCCAATGATCGCAGTGGAAGGATGAGATAAAAATTGCAATGTTTATAAAAATACCGCAGAATCCCAATGTTTGGAAGGATAAGATCGAACTTCCAATGTGTGAAACATAGGGCCAGAATTCAAATGTTTAGAAGGACAATATAAGAATTCCGATGACGCCAGATATTCGTTGCTTGCACTGGAAGGATAAGGATTCCAATTTTTGTAAGAATAGGGCCAGAATTCCAATGATTAACAAAATAGGACCAGAATTCAAATGTTTGGAAGGATAAGGTGAAAATTCCAATCTGTAAAAAATATGACCAGAATTTAAATGTTTGGAAGGAAAAGGGGAGAATTCCAATGTTTATAAAAAAGGGCCAGAATTGCAACGTGTACATAGATAGTGCCAGAATTCCAATGTTTGGAAGGAGAAGCTCTGAATTCCCATGTTTGAGATTAGAATTCAAATGCTTATCAAAAACACAGGAGGAATTTTATTATTTGGACACAGAAGATCAGAATTCCAATATTTGCAAGAATAAGATCAGAATTCCAATTCTTTTGGTTATAGGGCTAGGATACCAGTCTGTAAAAGAATAACATAAGAATTGCGATGCGTATAAAGATAGGGCCAGTATTCCAATGATTGCAGTGCAAGAACGAAACAAAAATAATAGTACCTATATTTCCGTTTTCAGGTTTTTTTTTTCACTGCATAAAGCACTTCTGAAATGTCCGTTGACTAGTTCAAATGTTTATAAGAGTAGGTCCATAAGATGAGAATTCCAGTACTTATAGAAATAAGACTAGAATCCCAAGGTTTTAAAGGATAAGATCAGGAACCCAACGTGTATCAAAATAGGGTAAGAAATCCAATGTTTTAAAAAAATAGGGCCAGAGTTGCAATGTTTCGAAGGATGAGGTCAAAATTCCAATGTCTTTAAAAATAGGGCTAGAATTAAAATGTTTGGAGAGATAAGACCATAATTCCAATGCTTACAAAAATAGGGCCAGAATTCCATTGTTTGCAAGGATAACATCAGAATTTCAATGTCTATAAAAATAACGCAAGAATTCCACCGTTTCGAAAGAAAAGATTTGAATTCCATTGTGTATAAAAATAGGGCCAGAATTCCAATTTTGTGGAAGGATAAGCTCAGAATTCCAATGTTTTCAGTGGAAGGATAAAATAAAAATTAAAATCTTTGGAAGGATAAGGTCAGAATCAAAGTGTTTATAAAAATAGGACCAGAATCCAAACGTTTAAAAGGATGAGATGAGAATTCCACTGTTTGGAACAATCGGATAACAAAACTAATGTGTATAAGAAAGGGCCACAATCCCAGTGTTTGGAAGGACAAGTTGAGAATTCCAATGTTTATAAAAATAGGGCAGAATCGCAATGTTTGCAGTGGAAGGATAAGATAAGAATTCCAGTGTTTTCAAAAATAGACCCAGAATCCCAATGCTTTGAAGGATTAAATCAGAAAACCAGTGTGTATAATTAATAAGCCAAAATTGCACTACTTGAAAGGATGACGCCAAAATTTCGTTGTTTCCAGTGGAAGGATAAGATAAGAATTCAAATGTTTGGAAGGAGAAGGTGAAAATTCCAATGTGTAAAAAATAGGACCAAAGCGTCTAGAAATATGACCAGAATCCCAAGGTTTTAAAGGATAAGATCAAAAAACCAATGTGTATAAAAGTAGAGCCAGAATTCCAGTGTTTCCAAGGATAAGATGAGAATTGCAATGTTTATAAAAATGGGACCAAAATTCCAATGTTTAAAAAGGATAGTGCCAGAATTTCAATGTTAGGGCCAGAATTCCGATGATTATAAAAGGAGGGCCAGAATCCCAAAATTAGGAAGGATACAAAAGGTCAAAATTCCAATGTGTATAAGGACAGGACTAGAATTCAAACGATAGGACGGATAGGTTAAGAATTCCAATGTTTGCAGTGGAAGGATAAGATAGGAGTTGCAATATTTATAAGAATTGGGCCAGAATCGCAATGTTTGGAAGGATGGGGTCAAAATTCCAATGTGTATAATAATAGGCCCAGAAATCCAACGTTTGGATGAGTCAGGGCATAATTCAGATACTTCTAGAAATAGGGGCAGAATTCGATAGTTTGGAAGGATAAGATAAGAATTCCAGTGTTTGGAAGAATAAGATCAGAATTCGAATGGCTATAGAAATAGGGCCAGACTACCACTCTTTGGTACTCTACGTGGATACGTCTAAAGTTGGCAAGAGCTGAGAGGAGGACGAACGTAAGGGAAAGGTTTGACATAAGTAAACTGCAAAGTGAAGAGATCAGGAGGAGGTACAACATTGAGGTGAGGAATAGGTTTGAAGCGTTAGGAGACATTGATGATCCGAAAGAAGAACACGATATGATTTTGGTAACATATAGAGATGCAGCAAAGAAAGTCGTGGGGAGGTCAAAGAAAGATAGTAGGCCATGGATAGGAAGCAAAACATGGGAAAAGATCACGGAGAGGAAGGAGGCAAAATTGAAATTGGAGGGTGCAAGATCGGAACGACTAAAACAGAGACGGAGGGAGGAGTATAATGCGAAGAACAACGTAGTGAAATGGAGGGCTAGGAGGGGGGGAGGATAAGAGAAATTGGTTACAGAAAAGGGTTGCAGCAGCGGAAAAGGCCGCTGAGAATGATAGGAGCGAGGAGCTATTCAGCATTATTAAGTCGATAACCGGAAAAAGGCGGAAACAAGAAATAGGTGTTAAAAACAAACAAAGGGGTGCTTAGGACTGAAACAAGAGACGACTGTAGAGATGGGTGGAGCACTTTAGTGAAATATTAAACAGAGATAGTAGAATTGGAAGAGATTCAGGAAACAGATCTAGAAAAACGGCGATTACAAGAGGTCAAGAGTGCATTGAAGAGGACAAAGCCAGGGAAAGCGGCTGGAGTACTTGAGGTGTCTCCGAAATTATTGAGAGCTGACATGGAAGACACTGCAAGTAGGCTGAATAGTTGTTATAACAGGCTCTAAATGGGAAACTGAGAGGTGGCCGAAAGTGTGGAAGGGACTTGTTGGTGCAACAACTGAAGAGGAGTGACTTTACAGGCAGCAGGCAAGAGAAGAGGGATAAGGTGGAATTTCACAACAGTGAGGAAGGACCTTGATTTCGCAGATGACATTTTACTACTGTCATCTAAGTTCAATTACTTGCATAAAAAGCCTGGGAGATTGGCGGAGGAAGCAGCCAGAGTAGGAACAAAAAACGTAATGCGAGAAAGTCCAAGACACTTAGGACTGAGTGTGCTAGTAACTGGGAGAAGATTGTGGTGGATGGCGAAGAAGTTGATAACGTTGAGGAGTTTACATCCCTGGGAGCTATTCTAGACAAGGAGGGTGGAGGTAGCAAAGACATTATGCACCGTCTGCAGAAAGTACCTGGCGCATTCCAAAGACTAGGGAGGATCTGGGCAGCTAAAGGAATAGGAAGGAGAACCAAGATACGCCTATTTAAGACTTAAGCTCAGCAGGTCCTACTATATGGCTGTGAAACTTGCAAGATCACCAAGAATGATGAAGGGAAGCTAAATAGCTTCCAGTACCAGTGCTTGAGACTGATACTGCGGATTTCATGCCAGCAGAGAATGACAAACTAGAGAGTGGTTGAATTGGCTGAGATCAATGATATAAGCTTAAAGTGCGACAAAGTAGGTGGAACTGGCTAGGTCACATACTAAGGAGAGAGGGTGAGAACGACTGCTTTACAGCGTTAGGATGGACTCCTGAAGGTCGGAGGACAAGAAGAAGACCAAAAACTACTAGGAGAAGGACAGTCGAGAAAGAGCGAAACAAAGCTAGGTGGAAGAGCTGGGAAGTACCAAAGGGGTTGCACAAAACAGAAAGTGTTGGTCAGACAACGTGGAGGCCTTATGCGCCTACTGTCGTGATGATACTTGATGATGACCAATCTTTGGAAGGATAAAATAAGAATTACATTCCAAAGTGTATAAAAATAGGGCCAGAATTCCAGTATTTGGAACAATAAGATAACAATTACAATGTTCATAAAAATAGGGCCAGAATTCTAATGTTCGCAAGAATAAGATCATAATTCCAATGCTTATAGAAAAAAAGGCCAGAATTGCATCATCGGAAAGGATGAGATGAGAATTCCAGTGTTTGGAAGAATAAGATAAGAATTCCAATGCTTATAGAAATAGGGCCAGAATACCAGTCTCTGCAAGGATAAGATAAGAATTCCAGTAACTAAAGAAAAAGTGCTAGAATTCCAAGGTTTTGAAGGATAACATCAGAAAACCAATGCAAATAAAAAGAGGGCCATAATTCCAGTATTTAGAAGGATCGGAGAAGAAAACCAATTTGTATGAAAAAGGGCCAGAATTCCGGGGTTTGGAAGGATAGAAATAAGTATTTCAATGATAATAGAAGTAGGGCAGAATTCTAATGTTCTCAGTGGAAGGATAAGATAAGAATTGCAATGTCTTTAAGAATAGGCCCCGAATTCCAAAGGTTGGAAATATCAGATCAGAATTCCAATGTTTGGAAGATTAAGATCATAATTCCAAGACTTAGACATATAGGCCCAGAATCCCAACCTTTTGAAGGATAAGATCAGAAAACCAATGTGTATAAATAGAGGGCTATAATTCCAGTGTTTGGAAGGATAAAGGAGAAATGCAATTTTTTAAAAAATAGGACCAGAATTTCAATGTGTGGAAGGATAGGGCCACAATTTCAATGTTTGCACTGGAAGGATTACATAAGAATTCTAATGTTTGTAAGAAGAGGGCGAGAATTCTAGTGTTTAAAAGGATTAGATCAAAATTCCAATGTGTAGGGCCAGAATTCCAACGTGTGGATGGATTATATGAGAATTCCAATGTCTACAAAAGTATGGCCAGAATTCCAAAGATTTCAGTGGAAGGACAACATAAGAATTCCAGTGTTCATAAAAATAGAAGCAGAAGTCCAATGTTTCAAAAGATGACGTCAAAATGCAATGTGTATAAAAATAGGGCCAGAATTCTAATGTTTGGAAAAATCAGATCATAATTCCAATGCTTCTGGAAATATAACCAGAATCCCAAGGTATTACGAGCAGAATTTTAATGTTTAAAAAGGATAGTGCCAGAATTTCAACGTTTGCAGGGGAAGGATGAGATAGGAATCCCAGTGTTTGTTAGAATAGGGCCAGAATTCCGATGATTATCAAAATATAGCCTGAATCCCAAGATTAGGAAGGATGTAGGAGGTCAAAATTCCAATGTGTATAAAGATAGGGCCAGAATTCAAATGTTAGGACAGATAGAGCTAGAAGTTCAATGTTTGCAGTGGAAGGACAAGATAAGAATTGCAGTATTTATAAGAATATGGCCAGAATTCCAATGTTTCGAAGGATGGGGTCAAAATTCAAGTGTGTATAATAATGGGCCCAGAAATCCATTGTTTGGAAGGATACGATAAGAATTCCAGTGTTTGGAAGAATAAGATCAGAATTTCAATGCTTACAGAAATAGGGTCAGACTACCAATCTCCGGAAGGAAAAGATAAGAATTCTAATGTGTATAAAAATAGGGCAAGAATTCCAGTGTTTGGAACAATAAGAAAAGAATTCCAATGTTTATAAAAATAAGGCCATAATTCTAATGTTCGCAAGGATAAGATCACAATTCCAATGCTTATAGAAATGGGAAAAGAATTCCAGGATGTTAAAGGATGAGATCAGAAAACCAACGTGTATAAAAATAGGGCTAGAATTTCAGTGTGTTTGAAGTGGAAAAAAATAACAATTCCAATGGTTTTAAGAATAAGGCCAGAATGGAATGTTTGGAAAAATAAGATCAGAATTCCAATATTTGGGAGAATAAGATCATTATTCCAATGCTTAGAGAAATAGGACCAGAATTCCAATGTTTGCAATGGAAGGACAAGATAAGAATTCGAGTGTTTATAACAATCAGGCCAGGATTCCAGTGCTTCGAGGAATGAGGTCTTTCCAGTGTCTAAAAAAATAGGGCCAGAATTCCAAAAGTTTGGTTAAATAAGATCATAATTCCAATGGATAGAGAAATAGGACTAGAATTCCAGTGTTGAAGGATAGGGCCAGAATTTCAATGCTTCAGTAGAAGGATTAGATAAGAATTCTAATGTTTGTAAGAAGAGCGCCAGAATTGCAGTGTTTGGAAAGATTAGATCAAAATTTCCAAAGCGTAGAAAATAGGACCAGAATTCCAAAGGGTGGATGGATTAAATGAGAATTTAAATATCTATTAAAATAGGGCCAGAATTCCAATGATTGCAGTGCAAGGACAAGATAAGAATTCCAATGCTCATAAGAATAGCAGCAGAATACCAATGCTTCGAAAGATGAAGTCAAAATTCCAATCTGTATAAAAATACAGTAGGGCCAGAATTCCATTGTTTGGAGGGGTAAGATCAGAATTCAAATGCTTAACGAATTAGGCCCAGAATTCCATTGTTTGAAACGATAAAATAAGAATTCCAACGTGTATAAAAATAGGGCCAGAATTCCAGTGTTCGCAAGGATAACATCATAACTCCAATGATTTAAAACAATAGGGCTAGAATCCCAAGCTTTTTTAAGGTTAAGATCACAAAAACGAATGGGTATAAAAATAGGGCCAGAAATCCAATGTTTCAAAGGATAAGATAAAAATTCCAGTGTGTATAAAGATAAAGCCAGAATTTCAATGGTTAGAAGGTCAAGATAAGAATTCCAATGTTTGGAAAGATAAGGTCGGAATTCCAGTGTTCATAAAAATAGGGCTAGAATTCCATTCTTTGGAAGAATTATATGATAATTCCAATGCTCATAGAAATAGGGCCAGAATCCCAATGTTTTGAAGGAACAGACCAGAAAACCAATGTTTCTAGGGGAAAAAGGATAAGATAAGAATTAAAATGTTAACACAAATAGAGGTGGAATTCCAATGTGTATAAATAATGGGCCTAAATTCCAGTGTTTGGAAGGATAAGGTGAGAATTTCAATGTTTGCAGTGGATGGATTAGATAAGAACTCCAATGCTTGTAAAAATAGGGCCAGAATTCCTACGTTTGTAAGGATAAGATAAGAATTCTGATGTGTATAAAGATAGGGCCTTAATTCAAATGTTTATAAAAATAGGGGCAGAATTTCAATCTTTGGAGGGATGATGGCAAAATTGCAATGTGTATAAAAATAGGGTCCAAATTCCAACGTTTAGAAGAATAAGATAAAATGTATATAACGATAGGGCCAGAAGACGAATAATTGGAAGGATGATTTCAGAATTCGAATGTGCATAAAAATAGGGACAGACTTCAAACGATTACAGTAGAAGGATAAGATCAAAATACCAATGTTTGTAAAAATAGGGCCACAATTCCAATGTTTGGAAGGATGAGATCAAAATTCTAATGTGTAAAATAGGGGGCCATAATTTCAATGTTTAGGAGGTCAAGATAAGAATTCCAACGTTTGGAAAGATAGGGTCAGAATTCCAATGTTTATAAAAATAGGGCTAAAATTCCATTCTTAC